AGGTATTTGTTTATTGCAGCACTGGTGGTGAGGGGGATTTCTCCACCTTACTCACCCACCTTTGTCAGGTGCTGTGGTATATTTATGCAGTAAGTATTGCTTAGTTTCATATGTAACTATAACATCACATACACGCCAGATGTAATTTACAGAGTATGATCTCATGGTTATTGGATAGTTCTTTTGCACTGCGCTTGCACCTCCCCATTTCAGGGGTCATCGGGGGTCTTTGATGAAGGTTTCCAAGGTCTTCTTCACATCTGAAGTTTGCAACTTTGTCTTCAGAGCATGTGCAGTTATGGTGTTCCTTGGCCTGTCTGGTCTTAACTGGCCTAAATTCTTTGTTTTTTGGCTAATTGGCTTTCCACTTGCCAATTTTTAATTAGTAAAATATTTTCATGTCTATCTCTAAAGCTATCCACCTGGCTGTTTTTTTCTTCTTTTTTGTCTATTCAGCTTTAAGCAACTAGTTAACCATATACTAGCCATTACATTGTATAAAACGTGATTTATATCAGGTTATATAGGTATAAAAGTTATGATTCAGATTGTATAGGTATCAGGTTATACAGATATATAAAAGTAATGATTTAAGTTATATTGATATCAGGTTATATAGATATATTAGTTTATTATTGCTATAACTCAAGATATATAAGCACCTTTTAACTTTGATCTAAGTTATATAGGCATCAAACTGCACACAGTTCTCCTTTAAATACTTGCCACAACATGAAGCACATCATTACTTAGCAAAGTAACCCAAATCTGTTTTTTTTTTCCCCCTTGTACATGTAATGAATGGTGCTCATTATAAGAATTGTTTTTAATGGCTCCCTTCTGGAAGACCTGGAGTGCTTTGTCTCGCATCCTTGATGTTTCCAATAAAAAAAAGTATCTCTGGTGAGTGGGACAAGAAGATTAAATCTGGTAAAACACTGCAATAACTATATTGAAGAATGAGAATTTATACCTGGGGGCTCTGTTTTGTACTGAGATAAACAGGCAAAAATCTCATTGGCTTCAAAGGTCAGTTTCTGAGTATCAGAGGTCAGAACTGACTGTGCCGTCTGGAAATGAGAGTGTTGCACTGCTCCCTGAAAAGCTATTTGAAGAGTAAACTATTTACAAGTAAGTGGAAATGGATGTTAATAAGATTTTAATGGAGTTTGAGTGTGTTGTTAGTGAAGACCTTAATGAAAATATGAGTTTTCTGGGTGTGAAGAAACTCTGGTAAGCTTGCTATTTAGTAATCTGAAATGCTTGAAAATTGTTTAAGTGACTGTGTGTGTTAGCAGTACCTTACATTTTCTAGGGAGAAAAAAGAGATCTCCTTTAAGATACTTGTGAAAAGCAGCTGCATTTTTCAAATTTTAAATACATAGATTGAACACCTGAAAATAACAATGTACTGGAGAAGTAATCTATTTTCTGCAACTGCAGTAATAACTTTTTTTTCCCTAGTAAGCCGTATTTATTTCCTACTGATAGGTTTTGGAAAGCAGCTTTCTACAAAATTTCGAAGTTTGTAACATGGAGCATTTGAAATACTTAAAAAATAATTTTTAATGAGTCTATAAATGTGGCATTAATTATTTTTAAAAAGATCTCTCAGATTCCTTAGAATATTATTATTAAGACTGATTACTTTTCCACTTCTCTCTGTTGTTCTTGCCTTAACGTTTCCACCTCTGCATTTCTATTGTGCAATATACCACAAGTGCTTACTAAGGATAAGTTTGGAGGATTGAATTTCATGGAACGTCACAGCATAAAACCCATGTTCCTGCTTTGTCAACAGATACTGAAAAATAAAAATCTTAATTGGCAACCTATTTTTCCATATGCTATGAAATTTTAATTTTTTTTTTTTTAATCTTCTCATCTACACCAAGCCTGTGGTGTGAAGATTGTCCTCATTATCTTCAAAAGGTCCTGTTTGTGCCTTTTTGTACCCAGGGGAAGGTTCATAGGAGAGCAGAGATGAAGATGCCTGGAGCCATTGCTGTGCAGATTATGCACCAAATACTGCTTCACCAATATGCAAGGCAAGAAACCTTGAACCAAGTGAAGTGAAAAAAGATCTGATCTGCTCTGTCAACTGGAGCTTTAGCAGTTGTTCTCTCTGAGCCTGAGCCTCTCTCTATCCTAGCCCAGAGAAATGTGGATTGTGGCTATGAACAAATGCAGATGGCTTCGAAAGGGTTTGCAGTCTGAACAGAAACTGGGGATAGGGAGTGGATTGAGTCTGATTGGGAAGACAGGGGATCAGTGAGTGGAGTGCGAGTGGTGTGGCACTTGGCTCCTGAGGAGCTCAAGCATTGCTGGGATGGGGTTGAGGCTGGCAGCTGAGAATGGGCCTAAACCAGCACAGATATTGAAGGAGGGATTTAGAGATTCACAGCAGAGTGGTGAGGTTTTTGTATGAATATTTCTCAACAGGGTCCCCTGGTCATTGATGTCAAACTATCTCAGAGGGGTTTCACAACAAGGCATGGCAGTACCTCCTGCTCAAAATTAGGAGTTGGTGTACTGGTTTGTTAATGAGGGCTGGAAAGGTCAGGCCGTGAGGAGCCTTGCAAGAAAAGCCACTTATATTTGGAGGAGCAGAGCAGCCCTGTGACCAGAGACTGAAGTGCAGGGTGCTGTCTCTGAGCGCTAATGGAGTGTTTGTGATGTACAGCAAATGCTCATAAGACCCTGAAAATGGCCTTGAGCACTCTGTGCTGTCAGCTCTGCATTTCAGGACACAGATTTCTCTTCTCAGAGACAGAAGTTAGTCTGGAGAAGATGACAAGCCTGGCTTTTGTAGAAGGATTTGCCCTGTTGGTGTGGCACAGAGCCACAGCATGTTGGAGCCTGTCCCACCTGAGCCTGCCAGAGCTCCTCAAAGTGCATGCTTGTAATGTATTCAGTCTGTTAGTTTTACTTTTTTCATCGTGTGTAGTGGTGGTGAAGTTTCAGCTGAGGTGGATCAGTGAGAGCAGGTTGTTCCAAAGGTAAAAGGCTGAGCAGCTACACAGAGTTAAACTGAGTCATGGTAATCTGAAATTTGACCTCCTTCGGGCAGCAGTTCAAGTCTCCAGAGTGTATTTGTGAGAGAGACCCAGCCTGCTCTGACCTCCAGCTGAAGGAGGAGGCAAGGGTGGTCAAGGGCTGGGAATTCTGACCTGCTCTGACCACACCCCAGATGCCTGCTGGGGACACTTCTGTGACTGCATGAACATCTTTCTGCAATCATAAGTGTTGATTTCACAAGCAGCACAGGTCGCACATGGACACGCCTGTCAGGAGAGGTTTAAGAACTGAGGTGGCTACACGGAGAAGTTGTATTTATTGGGTAACGTGCACTACAAGCATGATGGTGTTATTGCCATTGATGCAAAAGCTGAACAGTCTTTATTTTTTTCCCCTTGAGCTTTCAAGTAAGGGCAGGTTAAGCAATGGTGTTGAGGTGCACATTAGCTTGGTGATTAATTGTCATTTATTAACTTGCACTTGGAGCAGAGACAAGGTGGGTAGAAACTCAGAGTCCTTCCGTGAGGCTCTTTACTTTTAAAGGCAAAGTCCATATAGTTAGTATTTCTTATCAGAGAATTAAGCATGTCTGGTGTGAAAGGATTTGTGACTTGGACACGCGAGGAGCTTATCCTCAGAGAGAAAGGCATGGCTTTTTTACTTAGGGACAGCTAACAAGCGTCAGTTGTCCTGAGATAAAACGTAAGGACAAGAGACTTTAATACTATATAAACATGCCAAGTCAGCTAGATAGGAAGGTAGGATTTAATTTACTGTGTTTACATTGTGATAAATCCACAATGCTTGGTCTTTGATATATTTTTTCTCTGGGAATGAGTGGTATTTATTACTTAACCCCAAATCATGTCTTCTTTTTTTGAATATGGAGACAAATTCAGACATATAGGACTCTGAAGCTCTTCCTTCATAATACAAAGAAATTTCTATTTTTTAATACAAGGAAGAATTTTGATACACTGTTACAGCAGTATTTTAGAAAAACATTACTGAAAATCATCATGTTCAGTCTTACCTCTACAAAAAGCAGGGATAACTCTGAAGTTAAATCAGATACTACTCATGTAATCAACTGATAATCTGAATCAGTTTGTGGCCTTTGATTTGATATATTTGACTGTAAGGGTGACCGGTAACTGCAATGACATAATTGCAACCTGTGTGGGTTTTAAGCTAATTCTTTACTAGGTCGGTGGTCACTTTTGCCAGTGACTAAATGAGGTCAAAATGAGACCTAGAGATTCCAGCTTGTTGGTTTCTTTTTTGTAACTGCAGCTATACTTAAGATGAAAGATCCTTTTGGAAGCCTTATACGATATACGTTTGGCAGGGTGAACTAATAAACCAGTAATGTCAAACCATAAAAATGGTAAGCTTTTGGTCAAAGAGGCAGCATGACTGAAACAGTTTCTATGGGCTTTATTAAACATTTGGACTTGCCAGTAACTTCACAAACTGTAACTGCAGTAATTCTACATTGTCCTTTCCCAGCTGTAATTAAGGCCGTAGATACCAGTGTAAATATTAATAAAAAAATAAAAGCAGAAGAGCAAAGGGAAACAGTAATTGTACTGTCAAGCTGTAAGAATTTACTCGGGCAGAAAGGCACTTTTGAAAAATTCTTTAAGTGATGATTCTAGGAAGACATGTGCCATGAATTTTGTAGATCTGGCTGTTGAGAGTTGAATTAAAAGTATGTATAATGAGGATTACTAGAATTTGGATTCATTTTTTCCTTTTTAAGACTGACTCCCGTGCTGTTCCAGATTGGGAGATACATAGAGCAGAAATATTAAATTGAAAATATATTCCAGATACTGAAAGTCATCCTTAATATCTTGGTTTGCTTGTTGACAGTGGTCTGCTATGATACTTTGACACAACTCACACTGCCTTCACACATATTAATACATCCGGGATCTTAAGATGTTAACCAAAAATTTCTTTTTGATTTACGCTTATAGCCGTCGATCTGGACAGTATACAATGAACCATGACCATTCCAAGAAGATCCCTGATGGAGTGTCATTTGACCGCTCAGGATCCCAGGACTCCTTGGATGAACTGTCTATGGATGACTACTGGAAAGAACTTGAAAACATCCATGAAACCAGAGGAAATAATCACGAGGAACGAGTAGCACTTGTAGTGAAAGAGCCAGATGGTAATGAAATCTGTTCTGTTAATGTTCATCAGTTTGCTGATTTAGCGATTTTTCTTCAAGTCTTATTTCAAGCGATGGCACCCACCTAATACAGATCAAAAAAGGCAGTCACTTTCCTGAATATCTGCTTTGAAAATTCTGTTCTCTCTGATGCATATCACCAGAAAAAGGAAGTGCCCTGAAAGAGAGTTTTACCAGAGACAAGACTGATTTTCCTTTGAATGGTATTTGCAGAGTATCAGAAAGGTGCCTGTACTTGCAAATCACAACTCAACTATTTGCAGTTGACTGTTGAACTAACTTACCCTTTCGCTCTTTGTGTATGTTGTTTGTTATTGTAGCTATTGTGGATAGAAACCTCACGCTTTAGAAGACAAGCCAATGATTAACCGGTTTAAGTTTAGTGAGTAACTTTCTATGCTTGTAACTATTGTGATTGTTCAGTTGTACTATTTTTGTTTCTCAGAAGCATGAATTATGGGCCGCTCCTTGGGCATGGTCTTAGAGGTTGGGCAAGTTTTATTCTTTTTTTTGTTTTTATGTCCTCTCAGATAAAAGAGGAGTAATGTCCTTAATTCCAGTTTTCTCTCAAAAATTATTTTTAACAATGCAGTAGCTTTCTTTCTCCCATTCTTACCAGACCTACAGTCTCAGTAAATTAAAATGATGAATTTTGCATTTTGGTATGGCCTCCGCATGAGTGAGAAGAAGCATGTGCTCTATGAGCTTGCAAAGTTATTTGTGCTTCTGCCTCCCTAATAAGTATTTTGAAAAGTTACTGCTCTGAAGATCCCCTGGAGAAAGCAGCAAGGCTCCCAGCCCTTGTGACCAGGGAGCTATGGGGCTTTCTGATGGAGCCATGGGGCTTTCTGCAGAGCAGCAGAGCCCATCGTTCTGTAGTACACGAACCTCTTCTCTTACTGCAGCTCACTGCTGTGGCTGTGCCTTTAGGCTCTGCAGCCCCAGCCCTGCCATTTCCATTGGGTTTATGTGTAGCCTTCTTCCCCCTGGTTACTGCAGCTGCCTCTGCCGTGAAGCCTGAGTGAGTCAGCACAGCTGAGTTATCAGCTGGAGCAGGTGTTGCTGTGCACTTCTCTTGGGCACGAGTACTCCTGAGCATGTGGGATGCTGCACCTGGCTTTTGGACCCGCCTGAAACTCGGCCAGGCAAAGGCAAGACAGGGGAGAGAGCTTGCTCACAGCTGCTCTAGAGCATGTGTGTAGCCCTTCTTTCCAGCCCTGATAACAAAACTTGAGAGTTTCGTCAGAGGCTCAGGATGTAGCTGCACAGCCATAGCAAAATTCATACTTAAATTTTGGTGTCAGTTTTCTGGATGCTGTTAATATTAAGGTGCCCACTTGGGCATGCTCTGGGCACAGTGGTAAAATGCAGTGAAGTTGACATGCCAGCTTTGGAGTATTTTTAGATATCTGGTAAGTGGAAATATTGTTTGAACATTTGAGAGAGTTGTTGGCATTCAGCACAACCTCAAGTGCTACAGACAGAACTTAGTGTTATATAGAAAATATCATTAGGGAGATACAGATTTCAGAAGCAGAAGTTTTTTGCCATTGCTGACAATATTTAATAGCTTTCTCTTCTTTCGTGTGCAGTGATCTGTCAATAAAAGATACCTTATCAGCTCTAAGACTAAAGCAAAAATTGTTCTGTGGGCTGTCAGCAGGCTGGAGACTATATCATAAGAACTGATGAAAAAATACCATTAAGGTGACTCGTGTAGGCTGGTTTGTCCTTCATTAAATTGAGCTAGTGGAAGGCTGTAGGATTAATGTATCAAGAGGAGTGGGCAGTAGCATGTCAGTAAGAGAGCTAAAAAGATTGAATATTGAACTAAAAATCAGTGAAGCAGCAATGATCTGGCTTTCAGGCTTCCCCATGCACATTTTTATTTAGGTACATTTATAAAATGGTGTACGATTTTAATGGAAGTGCTGTAGATTATTGGAAAGATTGCCACATAGCAATCTGTATTGGATTAACTACTTTAAAAGCTTTGATATCATATAGTAAACCTTTTGAGGCTCTTTAGAAACAATAGCTTTTTTCCGAGTCATGACAGTGTAAGTAATTCTTAATTATCTAGCCCCTTGGTACTTTTCTGTGAATTATATTAACTGTATCATGTCATTAAAATCCAATGTGCTTGGCAGTACTCAAAAGCCAATGTTTATGCCTTTTTCTCTTCAAATTGCTTAGAGGGAGAACTGGAAGAAGAATGGCTGAAGGAGGCAGGTTTGTCAAATCTGTTTGGAGAGAGCTCTGGCGACTCCCTGGAAAGCATGGTGTTTTTATCCACACTCACCCGAACCCAGAAAGCTGCAGTGGAAAAGCGAGTAGAGACTGTCACACAAACCATGAGGAAAAAAAACAAACAGCACCAGATTCCTGATGTCAGAGATATCTTCAGGCTACAAAATGACTCAAAGGGAAAAGTGAGTTCCTGTCGATTGTTTTATTTGATTTTGGCAGAGGGAAGACAGGGATATGTATGGATGGGGGGAGAGCAGGGTGGCACATGAAAGGGATATTTCCAGAAGATTTGCGTCTAACTTCACTGGTTTCCAAGGGAATTTTTCACTAAATTTTCAGGGATGGTGTTTGTCCAGGTTTGACATTGCATTAAGCAATTTTAGTATTTATAAGGATGTATATTGGCCTCATCTTACTTAAAAGTGATGAATAAAACAATCGCACATTTTAATCAGAATTATTTTTCACACAGATGTGAAACTCATCACAGCAATCACCCAAAGAGCTACCACAAACCTACTTTAACCTTTTGAGTGATTACCTCTTACTTACTGGTGCTTTTGATTTGTTTTTTTGTTCTTTTGTTTGTTTGTTTATTTATTTATTTATTTTTGTTTATTAAAAAAGGGAAAAAATGGGGAATTAGCCTAACCTCCTTGGTTTTGGCTAGGTCTTTATGCATCAGCTGTGGATGTAAACCCCATGCTAACTCCCAGGGACTATGTGTGTGTTACACTGTGTATGGGAAGTTGCTCTAACAGGCCCCGAAGGGTCCCGGTTTCCCGTCATGGGATATTGAAGAGAATTCCTTTCCCATCTACAGGAAAGAGGAAGGAGGGAAATGGAGACTATGATTAGAATTCATTTTCCATGGAGAAGGGTGTGTGTCCTCTCTGCTCCCTCAGAGCACTGGGATCTTCAGCCATAGAAATGAGACCTTAAGGCGTGACTGGTTTACCTGACCTCAGCTCTGTCCCTTGTTCTCACTGCTGACAGTGCAGTGGTAGTGGTGATGGAAAGCACAGTGAATTTTGAGGGGATTTAGTTTCCTCCTTCCCTCAACAGCTTCCTCTCCTTCAGAAACTCCTTCTAAGCTCAGTTGAAGTGTAGTGGGGGAAGTGGTGTGTTCTGGAGGCACAACTTCCCTTTCACTGTTCTGCTTTGCCTGTGGTTGCAGAAGAGATATTAACTCCATAAAAGCTCTCTGGGATCTTATTTGTAATTGACTCTACCTAAAAATTATAAGATCTAATTAGCAGAGCAATTTAGGTAAAATATCATGTAGCTTAAAGCAGTATAATTTCTGTTTTTTCTTTTATTTCAGTAAAGCACAAGAAAAATTCATGTTCCTGTATGTAAGCTACTGTAATGTTTGAAAATCCTGTTTTACAGTGTTTGATAGATTTTTCTTCTCTTAAACTAAATGTTTTGATATTGAAGACCCCACTGAGAAGACAAATGATTTTAGGCATTTAAGATGCATGAAACAAATGGTTACTTATTAAATATAGAAACATTGGGGGAGGAAAATCCTTCTAAACTTGTCTTCTTGACAAAGTAGTACAAGTATTGGTTCTCAAACTTGTACTTCATTCCTTTCTCCAAAGCAAGATAATTGTTCAGAAATCATTGCTTGTGGTTATTCACCAAATCTGTCACGGAAAGCCTGTAGGGAAGTAGCTTCCACTACTTCCCTAGATAACTTGTCTCACTGCTTTGTTTCTCACACATCATTAAAAAGCTTTTTATATAACAAAAAGAGGACTGAAGCCACCTGCAGCTGGTGTGAAGTCATTCCAGCTTAATAATAGCCTCTGAAAATCCTGTAGCCTCCCTTCATCTGGAGGAAAGGTAAAACAATAGTGTTGATGTTTTGCATCAACACAACAATTGTGTTAATTCTTCTCCTAAATTTCCTGCCATATTCCCAAAGAGAAGCTAGACTTTTTGTACCTTGACAGCTTCGCATTCTGCTTCTGCTAATTTGTGAAACAGAGATCATTTTCTGCTAACTTCTTCCTCCTTTCAAGATACCTGATTTAAAAAAAAAAAAGAAAAAGTGAAAACGCAGATTGTGGCAGTAGATAAATCTTTAAAATTTGCATTTGTCTTCTCAGCAAGTATGGAGTTATAAATTGCTTGAGTAGAATACAATTAGAAATACAGTGTGCTAAACACTTATGGTTAATTTGACTTGCCAAAAAGTAAAAATGGTATGTGGGTAAAAATGTACATGAGTGTGTGTATACCCATATATATGGGCAGAGATTTTCTACTTGAAAGTGTTTTTCTATATTTTATGCTATTTTATTTTTCTATATTTAATATTCAGACATATTTTGTATTTCTGAAATATTTTGTCTGTAGTTGATGTCATCCAGTTCACAAAATGTCACATTTTGAGACTGGGTAGGGCAACATTACAGAAAAGGAGAGGATGGTTGAAATCCTTTCCCGTTCTTCATCTCTTTGAAGTGTCCTGGTTTTACTGCTGTAAATCTAATCTATAAGCACAGATATTAATGTCAGGCTGCCCTGTGAAAGGGATGGGATTGCTCTCTAGGGGAGGTAACCATGTAAGCGTTTTCAAGAGAAAGGACTTTGGTCTGAGTCAGTCAAAATATCTCCTCCAGATTCCCTTTCCATATCCTTTCCAGTGTACACTACTCTTCAGGTCAGACTGTATTTTCTTATTCTTTGTCACTCTAGAAAATAAAGTTGTTCACCCAGCCTTCTAGGAAGGCTAGGCTGACTTAATTACTTCTTTTTTTAATTACCTAGGTTTCAGATCCCCTTAGACTTTGGCAAGAGGTTTTCTCCTGAAACATAGAGATGCCCTTTTGCATACCCCTGAATTGCAGGAGTGTGTGTTTTAATCCTGCACAGAGTCAAAGGAGTTTCTATAGCCATGCCCTAGGTTTTTATAGGCATTTATATTTATTGTTCCTTTCTTAGGTCTGTGATGGAAGCGAACCTTCAGCTGTGAGAACAAGTGAAAACAAAAATGAAACACATGATGGAACAAAAGGTAATGTCAAATTACTCTCTTCTTTATTTTATTTATTTTTCTTTTGTTTTGTAGGTGTTCAACTACACACTACACAGGATAGTACATTCCATATTTTAAGTAACTTCTCAGCAAAATAAAATTAAATTATAATGAGAAACCTGTTCTGGACTGCATTGTTGGTGTGTAAAATTTTAGGTGTGCCTCTAGGTCATGTCTTTTGAGCCACCCTAGAAACCCTGTTTATTATCAGGGATCAACTTATAATCAAGCTATCTGAGAGAAGTCTCCTCTTGTAGCTTGTGCTCAGGTTGTTTCTGATCCTTAATTTATAGGTTCTGGTCTGTATCTGCTGTGCAGTACAGGAAATGAAGGTCTATGCATAAACTCATCAGTGCATACAAAAGAATAAAACCAAATGGACGATAAGCAAAAAAAAAAAGAGAACCGTTTGGACTCAAGCATCAAAAAAACTGTGAGAACTGGCTATATACCTGTAGCTCAAACTAAAGGAAAAACAGGGATGAAAGAAGAAAGGTTGTTTGCCTTTTCAAGGAAAATGTAAATGAAATAGCTTTCTGTGTGCCTAGGTTGTGTGCACTGACGTGGTCACACAAGAGAGGTGCAGTAGCCATGGAAGACCCTTTCCTCTCACTGTCAGGATAGTACATCACAGAAGTCCCTAACTGACTCCACAGTTTCTGTTTTGAGAATATGAATTCTGATGAAAGACTTTGTCAGAGCTTTCTGCTGTTCTTCAGGTCCAGTAGTAAAGGGTGGCTGTCCTGCATCATGTTAGGTTTCTGCAAAGGAAGGGTTGCACTGTCTGTTACACCACCCTACCCACTCCTGTAGAGATCAGGTTATGTACTGGCAGCTATTTAAGTTTTAAGATGCACTGTTATTCTGCTTCGTTTATATGTTGGGGTTTTTGCTTCTTCTGGAGAACTGGATAGCACATAGATGTTATACTAAACCCTATACCCACATGAAGCAGGCAGATCAAGTTACTTATTGCAAGTTCGCTGTAATTCAGCCACCAAATAAAGTTCTGCTTCAGTTCTAGAATACTGACCAGTCAGAAAAATTGTTACTTTAGAATTAGACTTGGAAGACTGCAATGGACAATACAGAATGTGCATGGCTGTTGGAGTGGCAGGCATGAATATAAACCAGCCCTGAATAACACTGAATCTGTGTTTCCAGAAGTGTGTATTTCCCTCCCACCCTCTCAGCAAACCTCACTCATTGGGAGGACTGCCAGACTGCTGGTTCAGCACAAGGGAAGGAAGAGATGCCTGGTGCTGTGTCAATAAACTTCACTGTAGGATTCAGAGCTGGAAAATTACCAAGCAATTATTACAGAGTTTTTATCACATCTGGTTCTTTTTTCCCCGTGGCCCTGATGAACCCTTCAGAAATGGGGATTTCTGAAAGGCAAATCCCATATGCTAGCTCTCTTCAGCACAGATTGTGATGTGCATAGCAAATGCAGCCTGCTTACATCCTGATACACTCCTGCTCTAGTCAACATGCTACAGTGGGTTCTGCTCCCAAGATTGGAACAGGAAGGAAAAGTCTATTCAATCTGCAGTCAAAACATGGAAGTTTGCTGGTGTTAAAACCACACACCTGGTTCAGTGCTTGATCTTTTCTCCAGAATGATGAGCAAATAAGTGTTATACAAACAGTGAATGAATTTAAGGCAAAAAGTAAACAGTGCCTGGTATTTCAGATGTACTAAATATTTATGAAATGCAAATCCAAGGACATTATTTTAAAATGAAAACCCTCTTTAACACAGAAGTAGTCCCAGTTTTACCTGAAAAAAATATCAACATCATCTCAGACATTATTTAAAAAAAGCCTAAATTGAGACATCTTAAAATTGTTATGGTTAAAAATTTTCTTGGCCATACTCCAAAGGTGATAACTGTTCCTAATAGTTTATTTGAATGCTGCATTTGCACGGGCTTCTGCCAGACTGAAGTTTTTAGTAGTTTGCCCTTAGAGCACATCTGGGCTATGTGAACCCATTCTCATTTCTCCTTTCTTACCAGTCCAACACACCTTTTTTCTTGACTAAATAATATATACAAACTCACAGAATAGGAGGTGCCTTTGTTCTGTGTAGGTATGGAGTGTGTCTACAGGAAACAAAAAGAAAATTCAGAATCATACATTAAGCTCTCAAAAGGCATTATCATTTTAACAATCCATGACACTCACTAAAGGCCTGCAAGGCTAGAAACATGTTCAATAGATACAAAAGAAAAGAAGTAATTTTCTTTGGAATCCTGTGAAAAGGAGTAAATAACTATGTTGGTTGAGACCTCTCAATAAATAAAAAGTAAATAATAAAACAAGTGAAAAGCTAAATACTTATTAGCTTAAATAGGGGAGTAGCAAAATCAGTTTACTGTGACTGCAGTTGTTTTTCTTAAAATAGGAATAGCTACAGGGAAGAATAATAGATAAAACCTCAGTATAAGGGCAGCTTCAAAGCATAACAACCTAGCGAATAGAGGAGCAAATTGTGTGTACTGTGTGTAATACGAGGGTAAAGAGCAGTTATGTTTGCTTCTTGACAGGGAAAAAATCTGAAATCTGGTGGTTTTTAATTAGAGTTTGGATTTGCTTTTCATTTTACATAAGTGAGGATCCTATCGCCAGAATAATAGTGCCAGTGAAATGATTGCAAGGTTTTTTCTTTTCAGTTTATAACCATTTATAAACTAGCATTTTAGAGAAATGCTTTGTCAGTCAAAGAAAAAAATCATTCTACCTTTCCAATCATAAATTAAGATCTATCAGCTTAGCTTCATTGGAGTATACTCAGGATTCTCTAGCAAAACTGGGATATAGCACAGTTGACACTTGCAATGCTTCCTTGTTTTATTCCTGAAGAATTCCCATCATTTAATGTAATCTTTAAATAGCTCTGTGAACTAAGGAAGGGGTACAGAACTCATGTAAAATACAGTTTCCACATCCTCATAGACAATATTTACATTTTTCTGTATCACACTTGCATTTCTCTCATTAAATATTGCATGTGGTTGGCAGGTTGGCAGAACACCAAGGCTACTTCCTCTTACAGCTGCTGCCTAGTACAGGAATGTACAACAATGGGAGCAAGGCTATACAACCAAGACAAGACTCCCCACAACAGCAGCACTTCCAGATCTTTTAAATGTGCAGAGCATTACTGAGACATCTGCTTTACATGACACCTTTGTATGACCAGAGGACTGAAATAGGAGCTACTGCTTTTTTGTTTGTTAGCATCAGATCCCTCCTAGGCTGGTAGGAAGTATGTAGGTCAGGTATAGGCCAAATTAGCATGACAAAAGTTTTAGGGGAACGGGAAACTGTTTTCATTCAGTTCAGATGCATTAAATGGTTTACAGGATATATATGGATATACAGGCAGGGATGCTAAGGATCAGAGTCAGGGATTAATTTGACCTTGGATATGTTTGCTTACTGAGGACTCAGATATACCAAAAGGAGAAGCTCTAGTTTCAAGATCAGCTTAATCTTTAGCGTATGCCCTACGTGTTTTGGGGTTTGTGGAAAGTGAGCAGAAGCCAGTCTGGAAAAAACCAAGTTATAATTAACACAACCAGCAGAATATTAAAATGTTCTATCCTACTTCTTACAGCATTACTTAGTTGTAAGTAGAATCAAAATATTAACTCAAATCCACCTTCTGTCCCTGAAATTGTCTCAGCTTAGGTAAGTATTTTGACATGGGAGAGGTTGTGTAAAGCACTTACCAGAAAGTGGCTGTGGTGGCTTCAGCCATTTGCCTGTCAGGTCCCCTGAGTCTGGCTCTGGCTGACTGATGTTTTTTTCAGGATTTGCTCTAAATAATGTCAGAGAAGTTTTGTAGTTTTCAATAAGACACAGATATATTTAGAAAAATTGTCGAGTTGCTGTAATTTTTAAAACTTCCTGCTTGTTTGGATTGTGTGCTTGCAGCTCAGTTCTTTTACAGACCACTGATACCATCAGTGTAGAGCAGCACTTCCCTGACTCCTTAATCAGCCTATCTGCAAGCTTTCCCCTGCTTCAGAGTCACCTTTTGCTGTACCTGTAACTGTTTTCTGTGAGCTTTTTGCTGCCTTGGCTTAGGGTAGCTGCTCTACAAAACTTCCCACAGTAGTGTAAAAAAATTAGTTTATTATGTTACACAGCATTCTTACACCAAAACATATACATTGCTCCTTTGCAACTCATGCCCATTTCCATCCACTTTTTCTACACTTGTGGTATATTAGCTTTGAACAGGCTGCAGTCTCTTGTGAGTAGGAGCCAGTGGCAGAATCATGGTCCCAGGACTAGGGAAGTGATTCTTCCTCTGTACTCAGCACTGGAGAGGCTACACGTCAAGTTCTGTGTCCAGTTCTGAACCCCTCAATTCAGGAAGAGCATTGAGGGGCTGGAGCATGGCCAGAGGAGGGTAACAGAGCTGGTGAGGGTCTGGAGCACAAGTCTTATGAGGAGAGGCTGAGGGAGCTGGAAGTGTTTAGCCTGGAGAAAAGGAGGCTCATGGGAGTCTTATCTCCCTCTCCCTGCCTGGCAGGAGGCTGTTGCTAGGTGGGGATTGGTCTTTTCTCAACAGAACAAGAGGATACAGCCTCAAGCTGTGCCAGGAGAAGTTTAGTTTGGACATTAGGGAGAAGTTCTTCACAGAAAAGCTTATTATATGTTGGAGTGGACTGTCCAGGGAAGTTGTGGAGTCCCTGGAGATATTTGAGGAAAGATTGGACATGCCACTTAGTGCCATGATATAGTTGACATGATGGTGTTTGGTCATAGGTTGGACTCCATGATCTCAAAGGTCTTTTCCAACATTATTTATTCATTCACTACTCTTTTGTAGTACCTGGAAACCTTCTGTGGTTGTCATGTCCTGTAAAAGGAACCTATTCCTTGATGTATCATGAGAAGGATGGTGGAGAGACTGAAAGTCCTTCTTAGACTTCTATGCTTTGTATTAAATAGTGTTTTTTATTGTATAATTTTCTTCTTGCTTCTTTCAACAATATATTTTAACTACAGTCCAAAACCAGTGGTTAATTTACTGTGAAATGGGGAACTTCTTTTTCTAAAAGCAGAACTGCCTCTCCCTTTTCTGATTCTTTATTCCTTTAACAAAAAAGGTTCTAAATTTGTCTAGTGTTTGATGCTTTAAGGAACAAAGAAAGAGAAGTAAGGCCATTGTTGTGTACTTAGTCCTTCCCTGTATCATGGAATCATGCCCAAACTGTTTTGAGGAATCTAGACACTTCAGACTGAGGTGAGAACAGGAATGATAGAACAAAGATATGATCTGTGTACTCCCTATTATTCCCAGATGTTAATGCTTTGGATCATAGAGGACACATTCTCTACTGCTTTTGAAATTTTAACAGCAGAAAAATTAACTGATTCGTTTGCAGGATGTTACAGTCTTAGAGGCTGGAACGTGTTTGATGGCAAGAAGCTTCTGATGCCAAAGCTCTTTGGCTTTTCAAGATTCTGAGAGTCTGCTGTTTGTTTGAGGTGGATTGCTCTATCTTTTCATAATAGATAAATAGGAGAGAAAACCCCATGTCTTGGCAAAATTATTGAAGAAAACCTACAAAAGTTGAAACTTTGTCAATAGCTAAATTTTCAACTGACATAAAAAATAGAGGAACAATGACTTTGCAATCAGAAAGTCCATTGCTTGCACAGCATTAATTTCTATTAATTTCTACTTGGTTTAAAATTTACTCTCATGCACTGAGTGCTGCTTAATTGTGCTACTATTGAGTTTTATCTTTTTTTTTAATGATGTTTTCAGGTCCAAAGTTCAGTCTTGGAACAGATGATCAGAAGAGCCTTCTTGAAGACATGCCATCCTCAGACACTGACATCAATTTGGAGATATCATTTGCAGAGCAGGCAGCTAATCTCAAAGACAGCTCAGTAGGCAAAATGTACAAAGGTGGAGGGGGTGACACTCTTCTCCCGGTAGGTGTTTCTTGTTTATTCCTTTTTTTTTTTTTTTTTAGCTGGAGGTACTGTTTGGGTGATATTTATCTGAGACTGAATTAGATTTGGAAGAATGTTGTCAGAGTTAGCTTTGTAGAGACAGAAGCTCTTAAGGTAACTAATTTTTGGGAATAGTATGCTCAATAGCATGAAATAACTACATTTATGCCTGTTTATGTACTTGTGTGTCTGGAAAAATGTACTCCATATGTAAGCAAAACTAAATTTCTAATATTTAGCTGGAATAGTGGCTTAGTGGTAGTTGGACCACTCTATCCTGGCTTCATTTGTTTATAGCCCCTTTTTCTATTATCTGAGGTGAGATGCTTTACTTCTAATAAAAAGCTCTGTAGTAATATAGAAAGGGTGGATGCCTGTAGAAACCTTATGCAGTTGTCTGATGTGGGTAAGTGAGGGATGAGAATGAAGAACAGAATTGTCTATAGAAGTTAGAGGTCTGAAGTCAAATGGCAGAAAATTAAAGATTAATTTAACTCAGTTTTTCTTTCCAAATCTTAATAAAAAAGGGCTCTTTCTGAATGAATCCAGATAAAATCAAAAGAAAATCCTCCAAGGGATTTTGTTGTTGATCTTCAGAAATCTCTCTGAGGATCTCTCTGCCTAATAGTTCATAACCATGTAACATGTACATATAACCTGTAATCTAAAGACTGGTGTGAAAATTCTCTTGTAGTTTTTTTTTCTTAACACTGTATGCAAACATGTCTGAGTAAACACATTTTCTGAAATAATGTTCCCAGTTCTTCAAACACTTAATTTAGATAAGGACATGTGCAGTTCTTCAAGTAGCAATTACCCCACATATCCTAGTTTAAACATTATAAACCAGACACTAATGGATATTTAGAGATGGATTCTTAAATGTTCGAGTCATGTTTCTCTAATGCAGCCTATAACAAGGAGATAAAAGCTATGCTCTAACTTCTGTATATATGCATATATATATGCATAATACATGCATTAGCTCTACTTCTGGCCAGGCTTGTGAAGGATTGCTCAAAGACATGGCTATGGGATTTCTTCTTCGGTTACAAAAGAAGCTGCAAAGTGATAGGAAGAGGAAGGGAGTTACCTATTTAAATCTACAATATATTGGTTGCACCTTCATCACTGGCAGCTATTTTTAAACAGACATGTTTGTGCAAGTCCATGAAAGCTCAAGGTGGGGAACTGGCTACGTATCTACCTTTTGTAAATTATGTTTATGTTTTGGTATGTGCCCTTGTTGTCATGTACCATAACCAGCAATTCGTCTCTGCTATTGTTGGGTTTGTACAGGGTAAGAAAATAATTCATGAGTGTAATATATCTTCCAAGTGGAAGAAAGTCTTGTCAAGCTTCCTGCTCTGAGTCATGCATACTTAGAAGCCTGCTGGTGAGAGATAGTTAGAAAGTTCAGTGAGTTGGGAAGCCCCTCACCTTTTCAACTAAATTCCTTATATTGATCTCTGACTGCAGCCTCTGAGTATCAAGTGCAGTAGAAAGGGGCCATGATTAAGTATCCCCCTTCCCTAAGAAGAGAACTCCTTTATTTTTATTTATATGGCAGCCAAATATTTTATTTTGTGTGCACAAGTGCAGAAGGATTTCTATCCCAGTTGTATGTGCATAGGATTGTTCATGGACAGCCACTTCCACCACTATCAACTGGAAAAGGATGCAGAAGGTGGAGGGGGAGTATGTGGTTGCGAGCAGGACAAATCCAGACTCTTCTTGGATGTGCCAAGTAAAAGGACAAGAGTTAATGGACACAAGAGACTAATGGTGAAATTTTGTTTTGCATAGTAAAGTAGGTTCCCATGAGAGCATTCCACACTGAAACAAGTTCCCACAGGGGTTATTGGGAATTTTCAAAATTCATTTGAACAGCAACAACAAGCAATCCAATTCTGACTTTGAATTTAGCCTTGCTTTTAGCAGCAGTTGAATTAGATGACCTCCAGAAATCACTGGGAACCTAAATCTTCCTATCATTTTAAGATCATATGCTTTTTAACTTATTTGTGGGATTTTCCCTTTATTTAGTCAGTAACACCAGGCTTCATGATGAAAGGTTGTACCTTGAAGGAAGCATAGCCTTTGAGCTAAGTCATTTATCATGTCTTAGATTATTTACCCTTCTGCAAATCTCTGCTTTTAGAATTTCAGACTGCCGAAGGACAAAACAGGTACCACAAAGATTGGTGACTTAGCCCATCAGGACATGAAGAAAGTCTATTCTTTAGCACTGATTGAACTAACTGCTCTCTACGACATACTTGGGACAGAATTCAAGCAGCAAAAAGCTGTAAAAATCAAAACCAAAGGTAAGTTGGTGTTTTGTATTCTGAACCAATTGCATCTGTTTAATCCAATGAAACAAATGCACCTGTTTCTTTATGATCTTCCAGCAGAAAATTTATATATAATATATAAGCAGTAACATGAGTTCTGTGCAACATTTAATTTTACACCTTAACTCAAGGCAAGCTTTAAACAAATTCACTGACATGATGTTTCCAGCTCTTTGTCTCAAATTAAAACTCAAGACAGTCACTGAGCAGATAATCTAAGGAGTGAAGGATAACTATCTTAGTAGCATGCTGTGCAGCAAGAATTGCTTCACAGAAGTTTGCATGTGCTAATTTATTCCCAAAGAGCATGAACATGTGCTCTTTGTAGGTATTGTTTTCATGATTTCCTGAAGGTAGGTGCTGATCTACTTTCAAAATTGGACTCAATGATCTCAAACATCTTTTTCAGCCTTTACAATTCTGTCCTTCAGGTGAGTCTACCTGACCTTTGTGCTTCTGTTGCCATAGGTGGGCAATCCTGGGAGCCTTTGTCAGGTGTTTCCTATTCTGTCTGGCACAAATGTTCTTCTGTCATATAGGCCTTGTCCATCCAGTATTTACATAGGCTATAATGCCGTTGTTATACTGAATGGCATCATATAAAGTGGAAGATTTAAACTGTTGCAGAGGAGGCAGAGACAATTGCTACATGTCACATTCCTCTGCAAGCCGTCGAAGCGTATGCGTAATCACAGTGGTTTTCTTGGGAGCATAGAAAGCATGGAAACCAATTTCTTGATGCTAGAGGTTTTCAGTGCTTTGTTTGGTTTTTGTATTTTTGGCTTCTGCTAAATGCCTTACAAGAGCTTGAGATGTGTTACCAGTTAATCACAAGCCTGCTTTGGCCAAAACTCTATTGTCAAGGTTCAGTGAATGTGACAGTGCAATAGCTCACTTTAAATAATTGAAAGCAACAGAGAGCATAGAGATACACAGCAAGGTACAATAGATTCTTCAGAATATGTTCTTCACTTTACAGTAGTAGTAAACAGCTTTTTTAATGCAAAAGGCATGCACAGAAACATCAATAAGACCTTGATCGCTTGAATGCATTTTCTTCTTGCCGAAGTACTTGTGCTGTCACTAATAAACAGAGACAAAGCACCTTCTTCTCTTTTGTTTTGGGTCTTAGTTTTAACTGCTCCTTCTTACAAAATTAATTGTTAATTGAATTTCACTCTCAGCATTATTATCTGAATGACAGGCATTCATAAAATGTTGAATTGATTTAAAACTTTTTAAAAGATAAAAAAGATAGGCTAGACTCGTGGCAATATGTAGGAAATGGACAATGACATCACCTTTTCTTCCACGCTAATCTGCTTTTGCAATGTACTGCCTTCAGTGCCTTGTTACTCTGTCTGACCCTTACCTCTTCGCCCCTTAAGTGTTATTTGGCCAATTGATTCCTACATTGGTGGGTCTATTCTCTTTCTCCTTTGTGCTTGAGTATGTAAAGATGATGAAAACATCATTCTTCTGGGGAATGCTGTGCTCTGCCCAGTGCTGCCTTTTTATTGACCTCCTGGAGTTTGTTTTTTTCAACTACGTTTTATTATTGGCAAGAACTTCAAGATAATAAGCTATGGGATATGGATATTGCCTGTATGTATTAGTCCCTTGTATTTTATAGGTAGACTTTTTATGCTGACAGAGATATAAGAACTTCTGGTTTGGCACTGAAATTGATCTTTCTTTGATGTATATCGTATTTTCTCAAGGGCTGACAGGTTTTTTTTAGTAATTGCATTGTGTTCAATATTGGCATAGCATCATATCAAGCAGCAGTTGTTAACTACATGTATTGTTATATGCTGCTCCAGAAAACTTGCACATACAGCAATTACCAGGACTTCTGACAGAGAAGTTCTGTGTCAGCAAAATTTGGGTTAGTTATTATTAGCATAGCTCTCTTTAAATGGTTATTCACTTCTATTCAACTGGGCCATAACACATGAAAAGCCCATTTCCATGAAAACTAAGGTTAATTTTTCATCAGGTCTAAATTAACAGCGACTAAATTCCTTTTAAAAAAAATTGAATTCCCTTAGCCCTATTGTAAAAGTTATTTTCTAACCAAAAATTAACTTTACTTTTGCTTTTTTAAAGAATGAACCTTTAGTGAGTTGGTTGTCTTACTGTTCTGCTGGTGCTGTATAGTTCAAAAGCACAGGAGTTGAAAAGTTGTTATTTCCAAACTCTCGTAGAGAGGAGTGTTCAGAGCAACTCTGAATGGTAATTGTCTCATTTTAGTGACCAAGTTCTGGACATTATACTCATGCCATTTCCATCTCAACTATAATAACATGCACTGAGTGGTGAAGATCTGCATTGCAGGGTCATCATCACATCCATTCTGCAAACCAGAACTACGCAGATGGTTCATTTATGCAGTTTGCTTTACTGCACTGCAGAATATGTGGATGGCAATTTGAAGTCAAAACAGAAGACTCCTGAGGAAGTGATGATGAATCCTTTTAGCTTGAATGTTTTGTGTAATAACTTGACTTGCAAAGACATTAAAACACTTCAAACAAAAGGTCAATAGCTCTGAACACATTGAATAGACTTACTGCTTCAGAAACGGGGGTTTATGCCAGTATCACATGTACTTGAAAAGATGTGGATAATATCTCAGGTTCTTTTGCTTTATTCTTCAGACTCTGGCTTGTTTGGTGTCTCACTGTCACTTTTACTGGAACAGGATCAGAAGAAGGTCCCAGGAACCAAGATCCCACTGATTTTTCAGAAGGTAAATAGGCATGAAGGAGTTAACTATTTACATGCATGCAAAATGACAAAACTATAACATTTTGTCCTGGATTTATTTGCTTCCTGTAGCAGTTTTCAGTATAATACTCTAATCCATCCAAGTAATTGTAACTTTTATTTGCAACTTTAATTACTAATACAGTAAATGTGATAAATTGCATTGTATCAGACATATTTTGAATCAAAGAAATAAACTCACAAGGCAAGTGCTTCCTCAGAAGGCTTGTTGCTTTAATACAGAGGGGTATGCTTTGACCCATATCATGTCATGGTAATGGGGGAGATAATTGGAAAGAAGATGGAGACCCTGGATTTACTGCCCACGCATAGCATGTCTCATTTCATGAGAAGAAAAGAAACCACTGTGTGTGGACCTGTCTTAACACTGACAGAAACTTAGAGCTCTATCATCACCATTTCAATCTGTTTGTAGATGTGCTTGTTACTTTTTGAGAAACATCACGGTCTCAAAACTACTGCTGTGTCACTCATGCCAGAAATTACTTCATCAGAATCATAAAAACACATTTCTGGAAAAGATGCTATTCTATAAGCTGAGAAATCAAATTGCAAACAGTGATTGATCACTCCGCTATCCTACCAGCATCAAAAATTCTACATAAACATTAATATCATAGAAATGTGATTTGTTTTGCAAGGTGCAGACGTAATTTGGAATATAGTTTTTCTTAAATGAGAATATGAAAAGTTTCCCATTTTTTGTGCTTGTTCTCTGCAGCACATGCTTTCCAGGAATGGGGGATTTATATGAAGTGTAAGGGAGCAGTTTTGTTCATTCTGCTTTTTAAATGTTTCTTATTTATCACTGAAAAGAAACAAAGCAAGCTAACAGGAAGGCTGCTTATTTAAAAATAAAAATACACACTAGTTTGTATTTCGCTGAGGAATTTAAATTTTTAAAAATGACATTATTTAGTCAGGGGTTTTCCAGCTGGAAAATCTGACAGTAATTCACATGTCGTCATCAGAAGTTTCTGCTGACAGTAATTCCAGTCTCTGGCCTGCTAATAAAGCCTTGCAAAGCAGCCCTGATAGAGATGAAGAGGGATTTCCCACAGGCAGGAGGCTGATGGTGGCCAGCTGTGTGCCAAGGGGGCACTTGTGGGTGAGTGTTCGTGAAGGAGTTGTGGCCACCAGCCATGCCCCCAGACCTTGTCTTCCCCAGAAGTGATGATGATGGCAGGTCACTGCCCACAGTGTCTTTGTGCCCAACAGATGTGAGTGGCAGGCACTGATCTGGTGTAAGCTGGGTACAGGGTGAGTTGGATTTTAGCACTTTTTTTTTTTTTTTTTTTTTTAACCATGGAAAATGCTTTCGAGTGACACTTCTGGTCCTGTTTTCTGACTCTGTGGGGTTTTCTGTCCAATCTTTTTTGTGGCATTTATCTGTTACATAAATTTCTGTTAAATTAATTTTTGTAACTGGAAAAAACACAACTCTGCATAATTTTTCTTAGTCAAGCACTGGTGCAGGAAGGCATGTAGCAAAGGCACTGCCCTAGTTAAACATTGTGGGAACTATTTGTGCTAAAATTATGTCATCAGCTTACAGATTTGTTTTAAATACTCTTAAATCCATCCTTCAGTGAATATTTCTAGGCGTATTATTTAGAGAAAAAAATTATTATATGGGTTTTAAGTACTTTAATGTAATTTCTGCAAATTCAGCCGTATGAAGGGTTGCAAGCTTTTGAGTCTGTTAGGAGAATATCAGAATTTGCAAATTAGAGGCTTCTTTAAAGCCTAGAAATTCTTAGTTCTCTTCTTGTAAAGTCCTAGAGTATTCATGAGAATGTTATCTTAATTATTTTGATTTGGAGACATTTTAACAAGGGTAGTAATTGGGATATAATTTTAAAGCCACAGTTATTTTTGAAAAGAATTCTTCAGTCTTCAGAGGAGACTTGAAGGAGGTACAAAACATACAGTTTTCTTTTTAATATAATAAACAAACTCTTCTTTAATAGTCTTCATAGAAAAGGATAAGAATCACATTAAAGTTTTCTTCTACAACAACTGTTATCCATTGGCAAACTGTTGGAACCTCTGCTTGTTGCAAATGTGTGTATACAAATGCATATGCACAGAGAGAGAGATACAAGCATAAATACTTCAATATATCAGGAATGTCTGCCAGTAATTTTTAATTGGCATCTTTCTTCATGCCAATTTGGTTTGTGTTTGACAGCTGATTGCCCAGATAGAAGAGACAACTCTGGAAACAGAAGGACTTCTTAGAATACCTGGAGTTGCAACAAGAGTAAAGGTAAAACATTGGACAGGTTGTTAATATCCCCCAAAATGTATGTGTGGTTGCTGAATTTATTTTGTCATACGAATATATTTTAGCATCTCATTGTTATGCAAATCTTCAAAAACAGAAAGCAAAATCTCTTTGCAAAGAAAACTGAATTATATTAGCCAGAGAAATGATGCTTTCACTCAGTGTAGTTTTGGGGGAAGACTGGAGTTCAAGTTCGAAGGAGACTCAAAGCTACGTTTCAAATTCAGTTGTGCCAAAATCTCATTAATTCTTGGCATGAGCTTTCCAGCCTTTTGCTTTTTCCCTGAACCAGTTTAATCATCCGAACAGTTCATACACGGTCTTTCTACCCCAGGAGGAAGCTTTTCTCTGGCATTGTGAGCCTTTTTTAATAGCTAGGCTTAACCTGTGTTACAGGGCAAGGCAGGCAGCATGCACTGAAGAACCTCTCACATTTATTTTTATGAACAGCAATATAACTGCTCGGCTGGCTGAGCGCAATCTTGTTAGGCACGTCTGTGCACACCGACACTTCGCAGGGTGAGTGCCAATTACATGCAGGCTCTTCCCCAGTATTTGCCTTAATGCAGGGAGCTAAATACACAGTGAGGCTGATGCCAACACTCAATGTGTTAAAAAGACGGTCTGAACTGGCCTTAAATTCTAAACAGAAAGGACCATTTAAGTGGATTCAGCTGTCCGAAGATGTCTGCCAGCCACTGTTGTGTAGAACTTGGTCCAGCTGCTGGTTCATTAGAAGTAACTAAAAGAAGGGAATATTATGGAAATTGGGTTTGTTTATTTACCAGTAACTAAGAAACTAATTTTTTTTTCAGTTTTCCTCTATTCTTTATTTTCCACTTCACATCAGTTCTACAAATTGGAGTGATTTCTTAGTGATCTTGTTTATTTGTTCTTTGATTTTATTAGCTTAATACAATTTCCCAGACAGTGGATCATTCACTATTTGGTTTTCATTTATTTTTAACCTTTTTATTTGCAGGAATTACCTCTTTAAATTAAGCAATAGTTTTGTTAGCAAATATGTTTAGTTCTTTTACTTATTCTAGTAGAATTTTTTTTAAAGCAAGGAATTTATCATACTAGAGGGCTGAAGTTTTCCCTTAATTTTCTTAAACAGAAAAAAAAAGTTTTGATTTCCCTCAATATATAGTTATATAGAAAGACACAGAAAAATACTTTGCTATCATATTCTATAGATTTTAGGGTTATTTTTTAAAATGCATTGGATATACCCCACAGTCAAATACATTTACCTTAAAATGTAGGCATTGGAGCACTAGGACCCACAATTGAAATTTCTGCCTTTGCCTCTCATATAAAATAATTGTATCTATATGTTTAATACTGCATTTACTGCAGTGATTTGGTCTGAATGTAGATGGAGAAAGTGATGAGTCTCAGAGGGAGAATTTACATCTCTGTTTCTAAAGCTTGCTATTTTTGATGATCACTAAGTCATACCCACTTGACTTTAGATATCTGAATTATGACCATTGCACATTTCAAGCTTAAATACAGTCAGTGGGGACAGAAGATCTCTCTGGAAGACAGCTGGGAATATCCAACTTTTATCAAACTAAGTGTCCACATTTTCTTTGTAAATAGATCCATTTTCCATTTGGACAAAGTTAAATTTAATGAGACAGGTATCTTAAAAATGTAAAAATGTATCTAATATCTTCTGTTCAATGTTCCCTTCTTGTCCAGATGAATAATTATGGCCATACTTTTCCACAGCACGTATTTTACAAAACAAGCCAGTGCCTCTGTCCTCCTTTTCTGTCCAGAATAACTGAGCTAGAAGAAGGGAGGGACCTGTGAGAGGTGCCTTGGGGCCCCTGGCCCTATACTGAGGTTACTTCTCACTCTGCCAAACTAGGAAATAAATGAAGTGGGTGGGAGATTAGGACGGATACTTAGCAGTAGACTAAGAAGGACTTGGTCTTTGCAGTGTGTTCCTATTTGTGCATCTGTGAAAGCCCAGTAATACCAGTGCCACGGCAGCAGGGCAGGGATATGGTAATGTTTGCTGCCAACAGTATCCCATCCTTTCCCAGCCCCAAAGTTATGACCTTCCACTGAGACTTTTACAGCTCTTTACTCTGCTGCATAACCTCATAGTTTGTGGGACAGTCTGCTTCCACACAGGTCAAGCTTGACACCCTGTGCTAGGCAAAGTTGTATGTGCCCAGCAGCATGGAATTCCCTGTAAATGGCAAGACAGTCAGCTATTCAGTTACACAAATAATTCCCTGTGTTTTAAAAAGAGAACCAGCCTCACCTTAGTGTGTATTTTGATAAGAAGCTGTGTGTCAACACATATAATTGTGTTATTTGTTTATGAAAATGGCCATGTATGCATTACAGCAACACCCTTGGGTAGCAGTTTCAGAATTGCTCTGTGTATCAGACAAATCTTAATATTTGGGCGGAGGGGAAGTCATGACCCTTATGTACTTAAGTATGATATCTGTTTCTTATTGTTTCTTATTCCATTTGTTCCATATGGCTCTGACTAAGGCCCATGAGATTTTTTTACCATATGATTTGACTGCTGCCTATTAATGTGTGTTTGCTTGCAGTACTTCTGATCTGTTTTGTAGAAAAAGACCAGCAGTGGCTGGAGTTAAGTGATATTTCAGATATCCTTCCCTCCCTTTCAAAGTGGAAAGTATTGCTGTGTGTCTAATGCGTGACTTCCAGCAGCCAAATGTTACTAGTGCTTTCTGTATCCATTGCATTTCAGGGTCTTTGCCAAGAACTGGAAGCAAAATTTTATGAAGGGACTTTCAACTGGGAAAATGTAAAGCAACATGATGCAGCAAGTCTTTTAAAACTCTTCATCCGTGAACTGCCTCAGCCACTCCTCACTGTAGAGTATCTCAAAGCTTTCCAAGATGTGCAGAGTGAGTAAAGTCCTTTCTGTCTCTGCTGACAGAATTGATACCCATGCAGAGAAGTGCCTCTTTGCTGAGAAACAAATTGAATAACAACAGTATGAGTTCTCCTGAGAAAAGATGGGCATAATTTTGCCACTGTGCAAATAACATCTTTCATGTAACAGCTATTTTTATAGCTTACACATACAATGAAAACACATTTTCACTTCCTAATGTTTCTGGTAGTAGTTAGGAGGTATACAAGGGTTATACAGAAAATGTATATGACAGTATCAGTTTATAAATAATGTTTCCTTCAAAAGAAAACCACAGCAAAGATAAGCAGTTCCTCAGGAAATATAACAAATTATGATTTATACTGTTTAGGATCTTTTATCCATTTATAAGAGGAGAATTAGAGCAGAAGTCAAAACTGCTGATTGTCTGTGGTCCCTTGAGATCAGCAAGTTCTTGTGAAAATGTCCTCTTTGCCAACTGGTCACCAAGAAAGCAAACATACTGGCTGTTACTGCAAGAGAGTGGCTTGGTGATAATGAATCCACAATGAGAACCCACATACATTAACTCCCCAGTTGCCACGGGACTGCAAGTTCTATTTCCCTTGTCTGCAGGCAGAGCAATGGCTCATTTCTAAGAGGGGCTTTCATAGAATCACAGAATATTCTGGGTTGGAAGGAATCCACAAGGATTATCAAGTCCAACTTTTTGAATGGTCCATATGGGCATCAAACCATCAACCTTGATATTATTAGCACCATGCTCCAACCAACTGAGCTAAATTCAGAGTCAGAGAGTTCATGTGGACAGGCAATCCAACATATTTTCTTAAAAAGGGTGGGCTGTGTCAAGTCTCCCGGGTCTGAGCTGCCTTTCAATGCTGTCAGGCTGGTTGGAGTAAGGGGCTGGTGCTTTGGCCTGCTACACAGTGTTGTTGATTTTGCAATAGTGAGTGTCAAGTTAAAACTGGCCAGAATGCTTTCAGATGGTGCTGCCAGAAAAAAGCTCCACAAGGTTGTTCCATTTACTGGAGAGTGATTGGAGCCAGGAGGGTTTCTGCTTGTGCTGCTGAGCTGTTTGAAGGCTTATGTGGTTTTACTTACCCAGAAATACTCAGGTGCCAGGATCCAAACCATCTTCAAAATTGAACCAAAGGATTTGCTTCAAAACAGACCTAGCACTTCATAGACTTCCATTGTTTAAATCGTTTGTCTTGTTGGTTACATGCAATAACATTAGGTGGTAGAGAAAAAGGACCATCTTTGTGACAGTAATCAGTGTTTATCAGTGTGACCAAGTAGTGTGGTTAGAATTAAATATTTAACATAATTTGAACAATTTAATTTGCTAATTTAAGTAATGTAAGCAATTAAAATTCAATTGTTGCTTAGGTGAGCAGATAGAAACTCTTCATTTAAGTAATGAATTTTAATTTTTTTGCAATTGTATTTTTGCTTACTTTTTTATGAAAAGATCGATTCTCATTGCTTTTTGAACATTGTGACATGGTGTTTTGAAAGTGAATTTAAGCCTTACTTTTAATGCATGTCTTTCTAAAGCAGGTTTGCTCTCACAACTCCATGTTTAAATGGCTATACAATTTGCCACTCATTTGTTCAGATCCTCAATTTTTGGTATAGTAGAAAGTTGTCAGCAAGGTAGTTTTTTTTAATTTCATCAATGAATTTTTATTTTTGTTTGTCATGTCTCCTGAGTTGATTCAGATGAAATGTATTTGAAATAGCGATTCAGTTGGAATCCCAGCAGGATGCATGACAACAGCCCTGTTGAATTTTGAAATAGTATGATAAAAATATGTTGCTATGTTGTGCAGGTACCTCCTTCTTCACTTGTTTTATGTATGGCCTGACTCATTAGGAATCTCCTGAGAAGACTTGCCCGAGCATGTCCTCTAAAGCATGACAGGAGGTTTATCACAAGTGACAAATGTGAGGGAGCTGGAGCTTTCTGCACTGCCAGAATGTAGGCGCTCCTCTAGGAGATGGAGGAGTGTAGGGATGCAGCTTGGGTGAATGATGCACCACTGAGCAATTGGTAAAAGGCAGAAGCAACATTACTTTTCTTTAATTATAGCTTGTCTCATTTGGTACAGCACTCTCTGCTGTAGATACGTGTTAAGCTTCTCTGCTCTTGGTTTAATCCCTGCTGGTTTGCCATGGCAGCTGCTGTTGTTCTGTCGCTGGAGACCTGCCTTACTCAGTTTCATGTGGTATTCATTCTGTGTGGGTGACTTGGGAGATCATGCAACTGTGAAGGCAACCAGAGAAGCTGTGAAAGCAGTGTTGAATATACCCTTTGATGTGTTGGGGCACAGGCTCAGAAAGGGATGAACCATTAGCTATTCCTTCTTGCAGCATTGCAAAATAAAGAAGGGATCACAAGGCTTCTAGAAAACATTGCCAAAAGACTGCTGAGTCACACACCAACTGAATCCTAAAAGAACATTTGGAAATGAGTATCAGAAAACCAGGATCTGCCAGTCCTTTGTCATACTATGATAATTAGCCATGTGTCTGCATTCAGCATTTTGCAAGGAGTTTCAACTTAGAAATCATGCTTTTTGGAGAGTATAAATAGCAATTTCAAAATACTGAGGTCTATGTGCTTTATTGGCAGATCTCCCAACGAGGAAACAGCAACTACAAGCTTTGAATCTTTTGGTTATCCTTCTACCTGAAGCAAACAGAGACACCCTGAAGGTTAGAACTGTTAATACTATTTTCCTGCATAAATACTTCTGTTTCTGTGAATCCACTGTAATGAATGTTGTTTCTTAACATTCTTTTTTTTTCTGTTAAAAGTTAATGCTGAAACTAGTGATTCTTTTTATTCCCCCATATTTCACATAGCTTTGGGAGAAATAAAAAACAACTTAGGGCCCTAATTCTTCCCAAATGACTTTTAAGAATGTGACTTGACATTTTTCCAGGATTGCAATAGCAATCTCCCAGTGAGCAACCTTTTCTCTTAGAAGTTTTGCTCTGTTTTTTTTTTTTTTTTTTGCATCAGTCATTATTTCCAGTGCACAAAATAAACAATGTTAGAATACAATGAATGTGAGTTTCCTTTTATGAAGTCGGTTTAGCTCTTCATTTTTATTCCTCACTTTTCTCTATGCTGTTTTTTCTACTGTCAATAAACTAGAAATTTACACTTCCTGTTGCTATTTGTAGCATGTTACATGGGTTCTTCCAAAATGAGCTTGCCCTTTTGTAGCAAAGCTATTAATGTTTTTTTCAGAATATGCTTACTGTTAAAGCTGTTACAATCAAGAATGGATATGGGATTTCTGTAGGATGCAGAACATCATCTATTACAGGCAAAAAATCCCACTAGTTCTTATTGTTCAAACAAGACTTTCTTATTGAGTTTGTCTATTGTGTAGAGGCAGTCAAGAATGCCCCTGAGTTGAGCTACAAATATCTGGAACTGAATTAATTGAAAATTGCTAGTTTCTAACTGGCTACCTACCTACACTATTCACAATGTAGTGCTTTACTTGTGAATTGCTTACCTTACAGAATTAGCCACTCCATGTTTCCAAAACCATGACATCTGGCACTATTGTGTTCACTCTCAGTTTAACAAATGCCAGCAGTAATGTCTTCACAAGTATCTGTGGGATGCTGCTTATGCACCTATTTAACAAATGTTTTGAAACAAATTTTGCTGTGCAGGGCCTCAAAGTCACATGAATGATTTGAAAATGTTACCCACAAAAACAACAAGAATGTTTTACTTCATTACTTGAAGGAAACAAAGCTTGCATTACTGTTCTGTGAATAAATATAGTCACAATTCTCTTATTGATTGATTTTAATTTGATTTTATTAGGAATTAAGAGCTTTTTCAAAAAGATATGCAACATCATGTTTCACTCGTGTTAATTTTCAACTCTGCACATGCTTCACTTTTCACATGCAGAGTTGAGCTGAAAATTCTACTCTTATTTCAGGTACTGCTTGAATTCCTCCAAAGAGTAATTGATCACCGAGACAAAAATAAGATGACGTTAAAGAATGTTGCAATGGTGATGGCCCCAAACCTTTTCACATTTCATGGGTTTGGCTCAAAGACTATTGAACAAAGCGAGTTTGCTATGGCAGCTGGGACAGCAAATGTCATGCGCTTTATGATTCAGTACCAAAAACTTCTCTGGACAGTAAGTGTGATTTTAACGTGGGGGTGGAGGATGATAAATTTCAAAACAGGGTATCTGAATAGAGAAGTCATGTGAAGTTACATCCATGATTTAGAAAAGGATCAGACTAATCCAGCTGGGTTCTTGATCTTAGTTAACTCTTATGGGAGCAAAACAAAAATATTATCTCTGATTTTAAGCTCTGGTGGTCAGAGTTTTAATATTGTATGTACTAGAGGTGAACAAAAAAAAAAGTCCTTGGGGGATATGTGCATTTGGTCTATCAGTATGTATTGCTGTGGGCAATTCTTTTTGGCTTAGAGATATTAGCAGGAAACACAGTGTTTGAACTCACTGCCCTTTTGGGCCAAACTTAACATTATATAAAATATGTTTTGATAAAGCATGAATTGTGTCATGGTCTCTAAGCAAACCTCTAGCTTAGACAAACTGGACAAGTTGGAAGTGTGTTGTCCATCAGCAAGTTGAAACAATTTGAACTTTGCTGAATGTGAGGAAAAGTAATGATTACCATTTTACACACTAAGGGTCAAGTGAATGGTTTTGGCTGGCAAAAGTAAAAACACTGTATGACTCCACCTCTCTTCCCCTGAGAAGTTACTGAATGGAATATTTTATCACAAATTCAGTGGTTTTAAAATTGTTTCACAGTTCTATATTGTTTGAATCTTTAGTTATTACTGGAAAGAAACACTGTTTTTGAGTTCTACCTGATAATCTGGCCATTTACAAAGTTTTGGTGTGAAAATTATGTAGTTATTCATGCTTACTCTATATTTATCTAGATTCCAAAGTTTATCGTTAACCAAGTGAGAAAACAAAACACTGAAAGCCAGAAGAAGGAGAAAAAGGACAAAGCTATGAAGAAACTTCTGAAAAAGATGGCATATGACCGGGAAAAGCATGAGAAACAGGAGAAGACTCCTAATGATGTAAGGAAACATACATCTGAAATGCTTTATTAACAGGATTGTATTTTTTAGTGAAAATGTGGGTATAGCTGAGGGGATATATACGTTTTTTAAATTGAGAATTTCAACAGATAGCAAATTAGTATAGATTTCACAGTTTGTGGGTTATTGGCATGACACATTTAGCGGCTTGTACTGGTTTTTTTTTTTTTGTTTTCACAGATTTTTCAGAATATTTCTGTTCTGAAAAATGATATCGAACAGGTTGTTTCAATCTGGGCATGTGAAATAAATATACATTGGGTCTGTATCTGTAGAGAGAGAAAGTGTTGTGACAAGACTCAGTATTACTGAACCCATATTTAGACATATTGTTGCCCAATGGAAGTCTCAGCAGAGCTTGTGTTTACTTAAAAACTAATTATCTATATTTCCCTATTTGATATTTAAAAGTGTTTGGAAACAAATCTGGAATTTAATTCTTCCATCTACAGGAGTTCCAAAACTACTGAACTCTTTGTCCCAGTCTTTAGCTAGAACATACACAGCGTGCCCAACTCAAGAAACCCCAAAGGATGAAACAAACATAAAAAACTGATGAAACTGCTTCTTATGCAGTTATTGTCCAAGTGGCTAGTGCCCAGCTAACCCAGTGCATGTAACCCACAGTTCAGTATCTCTCCTTTGGGTAATTGGCTTCTGCCATACCCATCAGTGATGTCAAGGCATACATTTCAGCATAACACTCTTCACACATTCTTTAAAATACAAAAATCCTGTGGCAATTACAGTGTTACTTTTTCCTGTAGTTCAGAAATAGTTTAATTGAGCTGTTCCCGCTGACATAAAAACTTCAAAATACATCTCGTGCATGTTGAAACTGTTGATAATTTTTATAATGACAATTTTTGGAAACTTTTTAGTTTATACAATATATTACCTTAATTATAAAGAATTTGAAGTACAAATTCCAAAGTTAGTTTAAATACATGAACAGGTAATATCAAATACCTGTGTTCTGAATGAAATAATGAAAATGTATCAGATTTGGGTGGTGTAAGAATATCATATTTGGGTTGTGTGAAAGTACCCCCTTGTGGGTTGGAGTCACAGTGAAGATTCTGGTGAGGTAGAGTCATCTTGTGGTTGCTGGTAGAAATGCAGTGCTCTGAACAGTCTGATTTTCTTACCAAGCGTGTCTATGTCAGATTGTTACCAAAGAAAGGGCTGTCATATTCTTATAAACGCATTTTTTAAGCTTTTAAGCCAAAGAAAACAGATTGTGGCAAATGAATATGGTATATATCCAGAATTTGTTGGCGACTTATATTTCAGTGCTCCTATCTCATTTTGTATGCAGGATTTGACACATAATGTCCAAAATTAATTAATTCCCCGGGCACCACTTTGCCTTACTTTCATATCTTTCTATATCAAGGAATCTTTACACAGAATGATTTACATACGATTTTAAAATAAAGGTGATTAAACACTGGGATTTGTTTTTCTTGTTCTAATAAGAAAAGAATTCTTTGAATTCAATTCAGTTGAGTTGATGTGATGACACTTAATGCTGCCATCCTGTGTTCAACACTGAAATAACAGCAAATACACTGAAAAAGTAAATACTGTTTCAAGTTCAGATATTAGATTTTTTTTTATAATTCAGTGCAAAGATATATCTTTTTAAGCCACTGAGGAGTTAGGGCTGAGGTCTTTTACAGTAAATTATGCCTTTCTAATCCGTTGGGGAGATAGAACCGAAGTCTTGTATAATATTCTTACTCAAATGTAAATGTAAAGTTACTATTCAATAATTTTCTTTAAGCCCTAGAATTATGTGGAGATTTTCGTCAAAATTAAATGGTACAATTTGTTACAAATCCTTCATGCTTATTACAAGCATTCAGTAATTTTGGGTTGAGAACATATATCTCTTAAAATCATATTCACAAATTGATAAGGCTTCATTGAATGAATGAATTGTGAATGACAATTTTATACATTTTTCAAGTAAAAAAGCTGTCTCGTTATTTATTGGTTATTGATTTGGGTTTTCTTTCTCTCCAGTTGTCAATTTATATTGCTTTAATTTAAAAATGAGATGATTTTTCTTGTGCAGTTCTTAAACTATATTTCACTATCAGGTGACAAGTGAGGCACCCAGACTTGTGGTGAATTTCCCACTCCAGTGAAACCTGTTTGAAACCTTCAATACCTAATTACTTTGTGTGCTGCTGAATAAAAGCTGAGGAAAAGTTTCTGTTTTCTAACACTTGCTTTGGCACCCTACATGATTAAACATAGATGGACAGAACCTGAGTCACTGACATATTCTCCAGAAATAACTCAGTATCTGCATTCTTAATAGCAGCTCATTTGGATAAAATTTCATCTTAGCTCTGATGAGGCCTCTCTGTCAATCACATTTCCCCTTTTGAGGCAGAGGTTAAAAAGCATTTGCTGCAAATTTCAGGTGAGATCTCTGTACAGTGTTGAGAGTGGTTAATATTAAATTAGCTTGTGAGGGTTTGATTGCTTTTTGGGATACTTATACTATGGCCCCAAGTCAGTGTTAGGGACTAAGTCTTTTTGTTGGTGTTGGGCTGGAAAATGCTCTAGACAGGCAAAGAAAGATGCTCTTAGGACTGGAAATTTACCTACTGCCTTTGCCCACATTTATACCATCTGTCATTGTATTCCTCGGTATGGTGCAGTTGTTCCAAAAAAGGGAACTGTCTTGTGAGCAACACAAGGCAATGCACTGGGCTGAGCAACTGCAGGTTATAAAAACCATTGGATCCCACGGCCTTTCTGTTTGTATGATCTTTTTGAATTTACACAGAATAACCTTTCTGACTCCTGCTGAATATGTCATTCACTGCAGTGCCAGAATATTTACTAAAAAAAATTGCTACCTGCTAAATCATTTCTCTGTGTATGCTTTTTGTCCCAAACTGGGTGCAATATATTGCAGCCCAAAGAGAACAGCTGCTTTGCATTTCTTTCAGACTTTGCCTTCCATGTAGCAAGAACCCTTTGAGAACCAATTTTGTTCTTCGTAATGTTCGTGGCCCATACCTGCTTGGTATACTACGCACCTTTAATAAGCATGTATAATATTCCTTCATTAGTGAAAATACTGCATAGTCACATTTCTCCCTGCACCTAGAGTGAAAAATACTTAAGTGGGTCATGAAAAATGGTTTAGAAGAAACTGGGAGAGACCCATCCCAGATCCTATGGCCAGACAGTTGCTCTTCTTTGTGATATATAGATTCCAAGTCCCCTCTGGAAAGGAAGGGTTTGAAGAAGATTAGTACCTCACAGGTGACTGTTGTGCCTGCTGCAGACTAAATGTTGTCACCAATGTATTTTCCATCAAGTAAGAATGTACTGTTTTCAGGTTTTTAAAAATAATGCAAGTGCCTAATTCAACCAGGGGTTGCAGCGTTTTAAATCTGACTTGAGGGCCTGTGAGGCAGGGGAGGAAACTTGAAAACTCAGTAGCATAGGTGACCCACTCTTCAGTGTGTTGTCAATCCTCTCATAGGTTGTGATATGGAGCCCCTCACTTGGGTATTTTGAGCTGTGCAGAAATTAAGTCCTTCTGTAATTCAGTTCTTAGAGGCTTCAGGCCATATTTTCATTCCCACCAACTTGCATGGTGTATGGGCTAGGAGATGCTCAGGTTCTGTTCTCTTTAGTTTGGCAGCATGAACATATTGTGCAGCTGAGCATGATTTCTCCTGGAAATGCAGGTGGTGAAAGTGGCAAAATGCATTAATTAGCTGAGCTAATTATGATTCTCTGTGAATAAACAAAGTAATTATTCTGTTTGATCTGTGACCGTTATTTTAGAGCTCTGTGGCCATTTCTTGTTCTTTCTCTCATATACTCAAAGCAGTACTGCTTTTTAAATAATTTATCATATGCCTGCTGTGTAGCAAAAAATAGTTATCCAGCTGAAAGTTGGAGAAAGACCACTAAAATCTACTGAGACAAAATGATAAAGAACTGTGTACAAAAATGAAAGCTATTTTAAATTTACCAATTTGAATTTGATGGAAGACCAGTTAGGGACATCTATAAATAATAATTTCAAGCTTAAAAGTTTAATTTCTTTTTGTCATGGTCCCAAAAGTTTGGAAAGAGGCAAAAAAATTTCAAGCAGGATTTACTACCTAGCAGATGGCAACAGACACCATTTCCATCAGTGGAGGCCTTAAAGAACAGATCTGACAAATTTAGAGATAAATCTAGGAGAAATCTCATCGAGATCTCTTGCAATCTTTGATTCCACAATTACTACATAGCAAATTCTCAATATGATGATTCTTACTGCTTTACACAGAAATAGTTATGCTGTCTAGTATTTTTAAATCAATAAATAATAAGACTGGACACAAAATGATTGGTTAAAATTGCATACCGTAAGTCATCATTGTGTAGTAATAAGCCTTCAGCTTTCTCAGGAAGCTGTTGTGATTCTGCTCATGTTTGTACTTGTTCTATACTTGTTTAACTCTGATGGTTTCAGCGAAGCTATTCTAAATTTACAAGTGCCTAGATTTATTCATTGATTATGGAATTAAAAATGTAATAGGATAATGATAATGATAATGTAATAGGAGTAGAAAAATTTAAGAATAGATTGTATTCTTAAATGATAATGTAATAGGAATAGAAAAATTTCCAGGAATAGAAATTAGGACCTTATTCACAAATAAATTATGCCTTTTGTAACTTGAAACGTCATGTACATGCAAGTTGAACAAAAAAGCTATCCTTAGTCCTCCTTCTCTTTAGCTAATATGATTAATATTCATCATCAAGGACTTGTGGGTTAAAATAAAATACAAATTCATTATGTATTTAGACTATTATATAGGGCAGGTTGGCTAGCTGAATATATTCAGGACAACAAGGAATAGGGAAAAAAACCTGCAGTAGTGAATATCTGTTTTTAAAAAAACGAAATTTAGAAAAAGGAAAGAAGAATCCTTTAAAGTAGGCTGATCCATGAGTACTTTGTGTTTTCTTTTTCTTTTTGGCAGGAAGTTCAGATTAAATGGAACTGAACAGGTTTCTACCAGAAGTTTTAGCAAAGGGTCGGTGCAGGGGCATTGCCTGGTCTTCATGCCTGCAGCAAGAATTTTCCATATCACTGTCATATGCTTCTTATCATCCCAAAGTGTGTTCTTGATATAGCATAATTGTTATTGCTATTCATAACATCTTTGAAAAATAATTAAACACTACTGTTCCTTTGTTCTGAAGTTCTCCCTGTTGTTAAAAAGAGCTTTGAAGGTCGAATGTAATTTACTGAACTAGCATAGTTATCGTATGTTTGTAGTGAAGTGCAGTAGATAGTGAAGTGCAGAGCACTGTACTTTCTTACTTATTCCATACTGTATTTTGAGAAGCTCATCAAAGCCAGCTGCTAGCAGCTTTGTTCCACCACTCTTATTGCTTTGCAGACTGATGTTCCTCAGGGAGTGATACGGGTGCAAGCGCCTCATCTTTCCAAAGTTTCCATGGCAATACAGCTGACAGAAGAACTCAAAGCCGGTGATATAGTAGCCAGGTTTCTCAGCCAGAAAAGGTATAAACACATCTTTGTTTTGTTATCATGTCGAGAGAAGTGTCTCTTCATTTATTATATCAAGAAAAAAGTTTTAAAATACTCAAAGTCCAGCTCAGTTCATGAACTTTGGGGCTGAATTTAGCCATCAAAATACACGCTTGAGGAATTAATGCTTTTAAATGTCATTAAAGCTCAGGAAGCCTTCAGGAATACATGAGTGCTGTTAGTGAAAAATTAATTGCTATTTAATCTGATGAGTCAGGAATAGTTCTGTAATTTTGTGGGGACAAGTCAGAAGGGAAAACAGAAGAATGAGGAAAGAAGAAAGAAAATATTTTTTTAAATAATTCATTGATATATAACAGCATAATAGGTATTGGAGTATAATGATGTGCAAATGTCACGCACATTAAATGATTTAAAACAGAAGCTACATTTTAGTCATTCAAATCCATTTAGAAAGGGAGAAATTTTAATCAATCTTTTTAAAAAAACAGGTGTTCATCATATCTAACTATTCAGCTAAAGCAATAATATGGTACACCAGTTAAGATAAAGAAAATGCTTTTTCCTAAATGCTGTTTTTAGAGTTTTACATCATTTTGAGAAAGTTATTTTCTGGCTGGGCTTTAGCATATATTATTGCAATTAAGCAGTGAGAATAATAGAATCCCTTTGTAATAGAGGGACTTTATTCTTCCACTGTCTGCTTTTTACATCTTTTAGCTGCAGTACAATTAAATCCAGCAAGAATGTAGTTTCTCCTACCCAACCAAAAGACTTTTCTGAAATATAGCTTATTTGAGGGAAATATTTATTTTTGCAGCAGCAGTAAAAGAAAAATCAGAGGGTAAATATCAGGCTACTTGCTAATAACAGTGAAATTATTTCCTGAAACCTACAGTTTCTTTATATTTATCTTTTTTTACCTTTTCTAGTGTATTTCTCACTTTTAGGGCTGTTCATTTGCACTAGTAAGCAAGGGTATTCTTGTTCACTGATTGTGTCAGTAAGCATACACACAAAGGATTTGTGATGGGTGCATTGCTGATATTAATTATCATAACTTCTCCCAGACATGTCTAGGGGGCTGATCCACAAGCACTTTTGTAATATTATTATTCATTGTTTTCTGTTCCCCACAGTGGAAATGTCCAAACACTCAAGAAAGAAGAGGTCTTTCTTTATGAAATAGGAGGAAATATCGGTAAGAATGGCTTCTGAACAACTTCTTTTGCTAGAATAGGATTCCTTGGCACCTGTCCATGGGCTTCACTTTGGTTGCATTTTCATTCACGTCCCTCGTTCTGCCTGACACTAAGGCAGACAGTTAACCTTGTGGAGAAGGCAGCAGAGATATTGGTGTGATCATATTAGTAGTATCTTATTATCTGTCCCAGAGGAAGTTGGCAGCTGTAACAGATGTTCCTGATATGTATGTACAGTGAATAAACACAGAAAGGTTGGATACAAAGGTGCTTGAAGTTCATCTTATTCATCTCTTTGTATTGAGGCATAATAAATGAACTTACAGTCCTTCATGTTCTGCATTTGAGTGTCACTTGCAGGTTCTTTTGGGGGGAAGAAAATGCTCAGCCAGAAAGATGACCATGTGCTAAAATTTTCCAACAGTTAGTCTTTCCTGCTCTGCTGATTCCAGGCCCTTTTAATTAAAATAAATAGCAAATCAGCAAAGTTAATGCCAAGGATAATTTTGAACAAAGTTCTAAATTTTTCTTCCACTAACACAAGAACATTTTTGCATTAGAAATCAGTCCCTAATCACAATATTTTTCATATGCTCATGAAAACAAAAGGAGAACAAGAAAACAGTAGTAGATTGGACTTACATTTACGTTTTTCCTTAACTGTGACCTGTTAAACTTATTTGGCATTATAAAATTACATGCAGTACTTCTTTCCTTTGTAAGTTTCAATTCTGTATGTAAATTGCTACTTCTAGCATTTTTCTATTTTTCTAATCACTATTATAAATCAATTTTTTGCATGTTTGTCTAAACCAAAAGACTTAATTAAAAATAGCACTTACCTGTGTTTCCTGCAACAGGCATGTTTTAGTGTTTTTACTAATTCTGTTAAATAAGTTGCCAATATAGTTGGGAGCCAGATGAATGTATTACATTTTCTCTTGCAAATCCAGTATCTACGCACATTTCCTACACCCGTTAAAGCAAGATGCAATCCCAGACATAAGACTTTTTTAAAGGAGAGGAATATCCTGTCTATTCTACAGAGATGTGTGTAATCATTGTAGAAAAAAAGGTTTTGTAACTGAATTCCAATGAAACTGGAACAACTTACTGTTACTTTAAACATGTGACAGAAATTGTATTTCTCTTAGAGAAAGTGCAGATTAGCTTAGTTTTGTTGTGACATAGGTTAGAAAGCTTAGATGTTTTCTCTGTCTGAATGGTTTACTTCCAGAGAATTTCACTTAAATCAGTCCTTACTAGTCCTTATTAATACTCTCAGTTGATGTAAGAGAAACTCCCTGCCTTTAACCTGCTGTACAGGTTTAATTAAACCAGCTGTCCTGACCTTTGCCATCTGTCTCTCTTCCCAATGTGCCTGACTGATGTAGAGGGAGCCCAAAACAAGAAGACTCGAGGGGCTCACGACACACTCATATCCTTACACTTCTGCTCATAATTGTAACAAGCACAATGCTGTGATCTTGTTCCTTAGCAGATGCAGCTGCTGAAGTCTGCAGACATTTCTTTCATTCACTGTAGGACTTCGTGGCACAGAATGGGATTTCTGCCACTGCTTTGTGCCCAGGACTGGCTGGATAGGGACATGGCAAAGTACTGTCCCCATGCTCTCACTGCCTGAACATGCTTCACTGTGTAGAGGAGAAGACCTAGTTCAGCAACATGGCTGGGATTAAAATCCTAGAGAGAGCAGATGGAGACCGCTGCCTGGTTGAGCAGGGAGTCTTGCCTTCTTGCCTGCTTTGTGCAGGGAGTCCAAAGAGCTGGCAGGAAAACTCAGCTGCAATGTCCCACCTGTGTTTGGCTCCCGTGCCAGGAGTGCAAGTACTGGAAATGTCTGTCTGACACAAGCCATCCACCCCAACCAATTGCACAGCAGAGTAGAAGAGGAGCTGTGATGTAGAGCTGCAAATGCATGAGATGATGCTTTGCCTGTAGGGGAATGGGAAGAATGTGCAGATCTTGATGGATCAGCATATGCTATTTTCATCATAGCTACTAGACATAAATTAATTGCCTGTAGTGCACCAAGAACAGTGTACTACTTTCCCCTCCTAGGACAGCAACTGTTACAAGTGGTAAGCAGAGCAGCTGACTTAAGAGTAGGAGGATAGGGAGTAACACCTTCTTAGCAAGGAAAAAGCCTTGCACAATCTTAGCACTTAAAAAGGGGGAAATAGCTGAAATTTTAATGGGCTTCTATGCAGATGTGAATGTAGTTTTTGGATATCATCATGAGAGGATCTGGACATTGCTCCATTTTTATTTGCAGAGGAAAGCTCCCATCTGCATGGTCTGTGTGAGGAATCTGGCCTAGAGTGTGTCACAGAGGTAGAACAGCCCCTTCTCTCCTTGCTTCTTCTTCTTGCCCCCTTCCTCCTCAAGGCAGACAGGAAGGGTAGGAGAACCTCCAACTTTTATGTACATTGTCCTTTGTTAAACACCACAGAGAGACTTTGAAAATGTACGTGGAGTAAAACAACAGGAACTTTGGAAATTGCTTCTTTTCTCTTTTGTTTCTGGTTTAACCACACATCTTTTCTGTTCCTAGGAGAACGCTGCCTTGATGATGACACCTACATGAAGGACCTATACCAGCTCAACCCAAATGCTGAGTGGGTTATAAAACCTAAGCAGAGCTGAGATCACAACTAATGGCAGAACCTCCAACCTGTGGACTTACGTTATACAGCTGAATGTTTCAGAAGGATAGTGTGTCCTTTCAACATTCAGCCATTATGTATATTAATAGAACTTTATCCAGCTTTTTTTTTTAAAAAGAGATGGTGACCCAACAGTTATAACCAGTAAACTTTCAGTTTTACTTGCAGCAAAATTTTGGAGATAGCACTATTTTCCCACTCACGTTTGAAAAGAGCATAAGTACCTTATATATTTTATATAGAAGTACCTTAAATATTTTAATGGCACTAAGCTACCTCCCATCTGGTAGGTCTTGTTTAAGAAGAATTTATTTTTCAAACAGGTGTTTAAACTCTTTATGTTAGAGATCTACAATCTGTTTGTGTAGCATTTTGTGTTTATATAGGTCTTTTCAGTGCTAGTACAATAGAGAACCAAATCCTGATAAGCACTTCTGAATGGTACAGTATTAAAAATACCTAACCCAGTCATATGAATTTCCCAGATAAGTGTGAATTTCACAGGAAAAAAACTGCAATGCAATGTATTTTGTCTTTAGAAGTCCTAATTTAAAGTTTGATAAAAACTATTTAAAAACAACTGTGAAAATGCTTTATATGCAGCTTTTTTGCTAGATCTTTTAAGTAATTTTATTTTTACTCCAGTTGATTGTGCTCTTGAGATTACTACAAAAAAAAAAGAAAGAAAAAACAAAGAAAGGATCACATGACAAGGTGAGTCTTTTCAAAGCTCACTACTCTTGGCATTGTCCTTTCTGGCATATTGTCATGCACTAGAAAAACCTTTTAGGTTTTTTAGCAGTGATATGCAGCCATGTTACATACACTGATTTCAGGTTTTTTTGACATCTGATAGATGGAGTTTTGTGAACTGCCAAAACTTTTCTATTACTAGCCTGATAAAAACTTTCAGGAAAAATAAAATAACTGTGGAAGGAAACTGTAGTTTAAATTTCATAGGTAACAAACCACTAAACCTTTCACTCAAAAACAGTGTAAGGGTCTACTGTGGGTATTACCTACCATGAATTATATATCTGGTCTATCCTGGACGAGGCTAGAAATCAAGTTCTGATTTCCCTGATGCTGATAGATGCTGTCTAAACTACTTCAAAATTAGTGGTTCAATAGAGACCTATTGCAAATGCACCCCTTTTCAGGAGAGGACTGAAAGCTCCCCATGGAATTCACTGTTAATGAATTATAGACTGAGGAGGCTTTTTGCAGCACAAAGAGCTGTGGCCTGCAGCTCCAGAGCCCCAGTCCCACAGCAACACTTAGGATTCACTAACTTGTGTACCACTTCACAATTTATTTGTAAACTAGCTCAGCTGTGCTTGAGTGCTTACACCTGCCTGCTGACTACCTGAAGTAACTACTGTGAAATTGTATCCTTGGAATTAAATACTTTCAGTGCACACAGAGATTTATATTGACCTCATTCTATATACAATCAAGGACTGAATTACATTTTTTTACATGATCAAAGCTGATTAAAGGAGTTAAGGACCTTTCTGCTGAGCTTTGGACATGGGCCCTGTGTTGACAAAGTAACTACTGGAACTCTCCCTTTTGTATACAAGCAGTGAAATAGAACTCTGAAAGGTCATAGAAAATATTAGACATCTGCTGATTAGTTATCCATAGCATATGAACAATTTTGGGGCCATGTGTATTTATTATTTCTTAAAGTCAAAAGCTGTCTTCATATGAAGAGGAAGCACTGTTCTGGTTGGTTCTGGAAAGCAGGATGAGTAAAAGAGGAAATTGTTCTAATGTGACTGTACTACCCTGATGCTCCATCTGGTTGGGTATTCCCATGTGGTATAGCACTGTGCCACTATGGTCAAATCCTCTAAGACAAATTACTTTTGTCTGTAGAACAAAGTCCTTCTTCAAATGTAAGGAATAGAGTAGAAAAACAGTACAGTGCTTAGGTAAACATTTATAAACCTAATGTAATAAATAGAAGGGGTTTTTTTTTGACATGTAATATAAAAATGATGTGTGTTTTCATAATACATTATAGTTCTGTAAAAGATTACTTGTTACTGGAACTCTAGGTGTTATTTTAATCAGGAGCAAAGTGCAGATGATGAGAACAGCTGTTCCTAACAGTTTCAGTATAAAATTGCAACCAGCCTGTGGTTATGATCTCTTAAATAACTTTGTTTTTGGTTTAGTGCCATTGTTTGTTTTTTTTAATTTAAAAAAGTTCTTTTGTAATTAAATGGGTTTTTTCTGACTTCTTTTCTCATTGAAATTCTTATATTTGTGCATAAAATGTACCCAAATGACACTAAGCGATGATTATTTTGTGATTTCACACTTTACATCTTTGTAGGCAGCTTGTAGTATTGTGCATGACAAGAGAATTTGATAAGTTAAAGTCCTGCAAAATGAATGCCTGCTGGAAAAAGAAATAACTGGCTAGAAGTTTAGAACTTTGCTGCAACTGCAGTACACCTTTGCTAAATCGGTAATATAACAATTATTGGGTACATACAAAGGAACAGGAGACTTCTCAGCGCTCATTGAAAATACTGGCTCTTAATTCCTCATAATTAAGTAATTAAATTAGGGCACAAGTGGGAAGTCCAAAACGAATTCAGGTAAGCGGATAAGAACCTTTTATAATTAAAGAGACAATGCTGCATTAGTTGCTTATTTGGGGTGATTTGGCAGGCCACCATTGTTTGACTGATGACTTGGGAAATGAGTATGCAGATTTTTCACCCAGCTGACGTTTCTGTGTGCAACCCTGTGCAGGCAGGACAGCAGGAACTGAGGAGAGGAAGGAGTGGAGAAGCAGGACATGATCCCTCTTACCACTGCCTGGATGTTGTGAAGCATGTTAAGGATGGTTTTGTGCTCAAAAACCCTCTGGTAAAGGAGGGGAAAGGAGAGAAAGGTCCCCAATACCTGTATGAGGTGTAGACGCCTTTCACTGCCTGTGCTCCTTCAAAGACTGCAGTTTGCACTCATTTTCCATAGCCTCCTGTTCTTCCCCACCTCATGTGAAGCACTTGCACCATCCCTGGATATCTATGGGTGCCAGAAGGAAAGGTGTCATCCCAACAAACTGCCCTCTGTGAGCAGCAGTGAGACAGGTTTAGCTCACACTGCAAGTCAGCAAGCAGCATCTCTGAGCGTTCCACTGAGGTTTCAAGAAGACAGTAAGGGAGCAGGAAGATGAATGGATCTGGATGTGATGGAAAGACTGGCATTTCTGAATTTCTGTCAGGCCTTTCACTAAGCAATGGCATGACTAAGATGAATTAAAGGGTAAGGAGATGCACTTTTTGACAGTGAGCACCAACAAAGAAGGAAATATTTGAGAAAGGTCTGCTTGAAACTTTTCCCAGCCCATTATGTCTTTGTCAGAGATTCTTAAAAGCAATGTAACTCTCCAGTAAAACACACTCTCTTCCTAAGTGCTGAGTTAAATTGCAGCAGTAAGCTAACTTGGCAAAAAAATTGCTTAAGAAATTATTTCCTTAGTATCACACTTAAATGCATCTTAGGATTAGCTCTCTGCTGTGCTTCTATCTTTAAAAGGTTGCAGCCATTCAAAAAGTATAAATTGTGTGTGTGCTAGTCTTACGGCAATATTTATAATAATATTTTTTTATGTAGAGCAATGCTTTAAAAATATTTATACCACTGTTTGTGTTTGCACACAAACCACATCTGAGGTAGGTAAGTACCTATCATCCCCATTTAACAGATGGGAAAAGTGTTCATAAATGGCTGGCTTCTGGCTAGAAGGGATGAAATGAATCTAATTCATAGAAACCAAATAATGATCCTCCAACAATTGCTTTTAAAATCTGCTATATTGCCAGTAACAGTAGTATAGCAATCACAAGTATGGCTTCAGGGGATTCTTTTAATAAATACAGTGCTGTAATTTTTAACCTGGTTTCCAAAGGAAATTTATCTGGGGTAATCTTGCTACCTTGTGCGTGTTCCCCTAATTACTTTTGAGTCTGTTGGCAGACTTTAGTAATTTTTGGCAAATGTGGGAGGGAAGGCATGTGTCAAAAAATAATTAAGCTCTGTGAGCTTCATAAAACTAGGTAGTAGGAGTCCTTTGTTGAATGGGGAGATGACAGCATAAGCTCCACTTTTATTTAGGCACCAGAACAGAAGTGAGAGAAACCATACACATGCTCTGACCATGGAGGAAGGCTGTGCTTGGAGCTCACAGCCAGCCAGCGGGATCTTTGGAGGCCTGAGAAAACGCTCGCTTGTGTTGCCCCCTGCTTTCTGAATCTTCTTTGTTGACTTGATGTGGGTAATTGTTGCTGAAGCTGCAATTGTTCTCCTGGGCTGAATTTTGGGGTGCAGCCTCTACAACTCCTGGTTAGTACAACTCATGCCCATACCCTCCCTATGGGCTGAGCACCTTTCCAGCCGGAGCTGTACCCACTGAAGGCATTGTTGCAGGCAAGGAGCTGGGTAGAAATACCTCTCCTCTCTCTGCTTTTAGGGATTACCTTCACCCTGGGGAATAATCAGATCTAAAACTGGGCAGTATCAAAGGACAGCCTTCACTCGCAGGTTTTAAACCATCACGGGAATACAACTTGCCATTCATGAATCATAGGAGGTGGCGGTGGTTCAAAAGCCCTGCAGATATTATTACTCTCCTTGACAGTCCATTTTGGGCTGACTGAAAGGATCCCTCCTTCTCTCTGTGGCACTGTAAAACCAATAACTAATGCTCATTTGCATTGAGAGCCACAGTCTCTGTGTTTCACCTGTCGAATGATCTTTGCCCTCCGTGTTACCATTGTGCCTCCGTAACGCAGTTACTCTTGAAAACAAATTGTCTTGGTTCCCGCGAGCAGTGTGCTCACATGCTGTGTCGCTGGATCAGGTCCTGCAGGGCAGGGCAGCCGGCTCTGTGCTTCTTTCGCATGGGATTCCCTGTGCCTTCCGAGCGGTGACACCGCCACCTGGCTGTCCACACGTGGGGATGTGCCTTTGCCGTCCGCTGTCATTCACCGCCGGCCGGGGACAAGCGGAGGGTCATTCCCACCGCACTCTTTACTCTGTTCCGTGTGCGAGGTCCGCCCTCGGGGACGGAAATCCCTGG